GAGAAAATCGAAATTTTAGTTTTTCGTAGTTCCGTCGCTCGCCGCTAGATGGCGCCACCTGTACCGTTTTGGACCGAATTCGACAAAAATTGATTTTCTGGCTTTATTAGGCATCAAAACGCATCAAACCCTAATAGAAATTTGTTTCTAAATGCCTCAGGAACCATACTACGTCGTCAAAGTGCCGAAATATTCATTTTTTTATTTTCCTTATATGCGTTCGCAGACCCTCACTTTTTAGGATCAGTTTTTTCAGCGATTATTCGTTCGTGGCAAGTCCAATTAAAATTTTTTTTCTATGTCCATCTGGATGTACATACGCATGTGCATGCAAAATTTGAAGAGAATTGGTTGAGTGGTGCAAAAGAAAAACGCGGACAAAGAAGTTGCAAAGTAAAGTATAAGAGCTTCGCTCGCTCGCTCAATGAACGGACAACAATCGAAGCTTAAATACAATCAAATATGAAATAATTTTTCAAGGGATATACGTAATAACCACAATAATTTAAATTTCAAAAATACATGTATTTACACTTTCTTGTTAGCAATACAATTTTTACATTTTATGAGCACCATGTAACAGTTTCTTAAAAATGTCTTAAATGTTAACAATCTAACAATATAGTGGAAGATACATGTAAAAAGGGAAAAGGAAAAGTAGACACATGTCATATTAAAATTTTTATTTTTCTTTTCCATTCTTAAACTTATTTCTTATGAAACCAAATAATAACATTAAATGGCATATATGTAATGAAATACTACTAAAAATGGTACTTGGATAAGTATTCCAACATAACTCTATTACTCCCAAAATAGTCAACTTTATTACAGTTTTGTAATCTGTGCACCATGCAATGTAAGGCAGTGTATGATAGTACCATATATAAAATTGATAATGCAATGATCTACTAAATACTATACCGATAAAATTTGCAGCAAAAAATGGGAAAATAAACAACTGACTCATGTTAGACATATCTACTTTTTCTTTCTTCTTTAGTTGTAATTGTACATTTTCTTCTATATATTTTAATTTTGCATATGATTTCATGTATTTAATCCATGTTGGTACAAAGTAAATTATAGTTAATATATGTAACACTAACAGTAATATATGAAAGTATGGATGAACAAAAATATTTTCTGATAAAAATCTCCAATTTACAGTCCATTTGAATTCAAAAACTCTTCCAAAATTAAAAGCACCTATTATATATGCAAGTGGATTATTAAGCAAGAAAGGAAGACCCAATATTAACTGAATGGAAGCACAAATAAATAAATGTACAGCTGTCTTAATTAAACCTAAATTACATAAATATGCAATTAAAAGTGCAGGTGCAAATAACAAAATATTCATTTTCACAGATACTGCTAAGCTATAAAAAATGCTCCCTAAATACCAATGATTATCCAGAAATGCATTGAGGCTAGCAAACAATAGCACCATTGCAACTGGATCATTGAAAAGTCTCAAAGTAAATATAGAATGAACTCTATAAGATGTACAACACATAATAATTAAAACATATGGAGGTACTTTTTTAGTTTTTGCATAAATGCGAAAAACCAAGGTGAGCAATATTATATAGAGAACTGCAAAGAAGTACTGTGCTATTTTTATGTTTGTTCCATGTCCTGTGATGAAGTGTAACATAGAAAATATGTAAACAAATCCTGCAGGATAGACTAATGGGCCAGTATCACCTCGCAATTTCGAGTAGTCCAATGTTCCATTCAAAAAGCCCTCGACTTCTTGCATGTACGCCTTCCAGTCAATTTCTGTGTATGGTACTTTCTCGATAACCAAAACATTTAAAATGATTTCCAAAACAATGAACACTCTTCCAATTATGATTAATTTTCTTGGATCTGTGAATAAGGAAGTGAATTTTTCCCATTCTAAATAGTTTTCGTACCAATTCTTGGTACTTTTCTTTGAAGTTTTTATTGAATTCAGGTTAGACCGGAGTTCTCTGCGCGGTGCCATATTGGTATGGATACACGTGTTATCTTGACTTGTTCTTAGGAGGCGTTTACACTAAATTTTCAACAATATTACGAATAATAGCAAGAGTAGGAACAAAAATAAAAACAAAAGTATTCGCAATTTAGTGTGAACAATCGCTGAATGCAAGCAAGTGTTTATAGAGTTATAAAAAATTCGAATGTTTCGTCTGCTTGTTCGTAATTGTTCTTAGTGGATAATATGGATATCCGGTAGGTTGTTCAAATATTTCCTTACATGTTCTACCAATCACTAAAAACCATGACAAACGTGAGTCACATTATGTTCGACCAATCAGGATTCGCCAGCTGGGATTCCGGGCTTTTGACAGAATCCAACGTGTATAAAACGGAGCGTGAATGAGACCGATGTAGATAAATTAAGAAATTGAATGAAATATTTAGTGCACAAAGAAAAGGATTTAGTGTAATTGTGTTAGAAGTTGATCAAAATATTTTTTACGTGATATACAAGTTATATTATTGGTGCAGCAATATATAAGTTAAATCTTATTGCTATTTTTAATAACCTAGTAAACATAGTAAACGTAAGTATTTTTAAAAGAGCAATACCCTCTGTTTCCTTTTTTCATTAATCTACTAGTTGCATATCAATATCTGGTTTTTTGTGTTAAAACATACACCTTAATTCCAATTTTATGTATCATTACAAATTGAAGAAACTTTTTTAGTATTAATACAAATTTAATATGTTGAGCTAAAATGAAATAAATTTATTCTCAAAGATTATATGATATAAATTATTATCCTGTTATTAATACTTTATGTCACATTAAATTACTGAATTATTGTTTTTTTTGCAGATTATAGATTCAAAATGAATAATAAAATGCTATTAACTTTCATTGTAATTATTGGAATTATATCAGCTATTACAGCTTTAAAGAATGATGAGTGTGAAGGTAATTATATTTCATTTGTTTTCCTTTATTCTTTAATTATCTTTATGAGCTCCATTAATCTGTCAATATTACAGTATGCATTTCTACTGTGGATAAATTTGTTAAGACTTTAAGTGATGATGTAAAGAAAGATACAAAGAAAATAGAAGCAGCATTTAAAGAATTTTGTAAAGGTACTAAATCTAAGGAAAACAGATTTGTAAGTATTTGCAACAATGAACAAATATTAATAACTTCTGACAATGATTATATCAGTTTATAAATAATGTTATTTAATCATCTTTTCTAGTGCTACTATCTAGGTGGTTTGAAAGAATCTGCAACAGGTATTTTAAGTGAATTGAGTAAACCTATATCTTGGTCTATGCCTGCAAATAAAGTTTGTGAAAAACTAAAAAAGATGGATGCTCAAATTTGTGACTTGAGATTTGGTATGTTTAATTTATATTATTTCCATACAGATGTATTTTTTTTTTAAACTATAACAATACCATTTAATTCCAGAGAAACAAATTGATATCAATACTGTGGATCTGAAGAAACTCAAAGTGCGTGATTTAAAAAAGATCTTGAGTGAATGGGATGAATCGTGCGAGGGATGCATAGAAAAGACAGATTTTATTAAGCGAATTGAAGAACTCAAACCAAAATATTCTCATAGTTCAAAAACAGAACTCTGAAAAGTGTTAAGTGATGTAGGTAAATTATTAGGTTAATATGGCTAAGCTTTTTAATATTATTTTTTACAAAACTGGAAACATAATTTATTCTCCTTGAAAAACCATTTTGTAAAACTATTTAATGACATTTTTAAATGCCAGTATAGATATATAAATTCAGTAAATAATGTTAAATTGTATTTCTTTAAATTGTATTGATTAAGCAATATCTTAGATGTAAAATAGGAATATTGAGCAATGAAATTTGTTTAATAGGCTAATTCCTTTTAGTGTAGCCATATTAATGCAATTTAAGTATCATAAAAGGTGCTCCATTTTTTATCATACCAATCTTAGACAAACATAAATCGGTCAAATTTTCCGTACTAAGACGTACTTACCGTTTTAATTTCCATTGCTTTTCATCAGCTACTCTGATACAGTGCGTTTATACATGTATGAATCCTATTTATACCAAAATGTGATGTTCTGTATGAACAAATGTATATGTGGTAAATTACTAATAATGTGCTGTTACATATATTTATTTTTTTCTTTCTTTATACATAACACTAACAAAATATTACTAACATCTGAAACATATTATTATATTACAATATTTTTGATCAGTTGCATATAATAATACATAAAAGTTTGATTTTATCAACTAATTTAGATAAAATCAGCAGTCCAACAAATGCTCAGTATTATACACTTGTTAATCAGTTAAAGTCACTTTTACTTCGTTCAGGAATAATAATATAATACAAACATAAGTGTGTAGAATATCTTATGTATAGAGTTGAAATTCATTGACAGATTGTTTGATTGTATAGTAATATTATTTTGTAAAGACATATTTACGAGATGTAAAATGGAAAAGTCATTAAAGATTTAATAATTGTGGCATTTAATAAAAAAACTGTCAGACAAATTTGCTACGATGGTTTATTGTAGATTCATGAATGAAATTATAGCTATATTAGTAATCTCCCATGCTAAAGCCTGTCGCAAATGGGTGGATCACTCCACTGCCCATTTGCTTTACATGTAATTAATCCTTGCTTTTTACCATCAGGACATACATAAGTTAACTGATCTTGATACAAGTATGAGCGACCACGAATGGTAACACCGGCTGGAAGTTTTGGTTTATTGCACGAAAGTCCTACAAAAATTAGTTAGTAGAAGAAATCTGACACAATATTGTACATTCTAAAACTTACTGGAACATTTGCTAAATGCTCTAGACCATTTTCCATTAGCAAGGCACCTCATATTCGGTTGTCCAAACATTATATATCCCGGCAAACATTTATAAGTGATTATATCACCAAATGTAAAATTTGCTATTTCCACAGCCAGCACTGCATTTGTAAGTTTAGGTGGTTTTCCACATGCTACAGCTAAAGGAAATAAACTACGTTATATTTTTAATAATATTTCAGAATATAAGTTCCATAATATCTTAGATCTTACGTTTGCAAGAAGGAGTAGCAGACCAAGTACCGTTTGTTAAACAAACAGACGTTTGATTTCCATCAATAATATAACCTTGATGACATTTGAATGTAATGATGCTGTTAATTATTCTCGAATAATTGCTATTAACAATGTATCCATATTCTGGAATCTAATAGTACATCTATTTTAATTCTTTGGATCAACATTTATAATCAAAAGACAATTCTACATTACTTACTGTGACTGGATCACACATAAGATCTTTACAAATATCATTCATTTTATTGTTAAATAAATCTTCAATTGTAGTAGTATTCAATTTTAAATTAGTTATTTCCCATTTACCATGTTCATTACAAAACCATGTTAAGTTAAAAACAGGTTCATCAATGTCCTCATTGTTTAGTTTGACTTCTATATTATTTTTGCAACTAAGAATTATTCTCTTCATGTAAGTATAGCCTTCTACAAAGTATTCTATGTTCTCGTAAGAGCCACTGAAATAATCTCTGTTGTTCCATTTAATGTTTTGATTATTTCTTGTACTATCTGTGTAATTGTCTTGATTCATCTCATTAAAATGTCGAAAAACTGGATGATTTGATAGAGAGCATTCCTGAGGTTCACAATATGAAGACATCGACGACCATTCTTCATTATCCATACAAATTCTAACATCATCTCCAATTATCTTATATCCCACATCACACTTTACCAGAATTTCTGACCCAACAACAAATTGCTCTTCCAAAAATTCGTTCTCCTCAAAACTATCCTCGCTCGTTTCTGACGTAAATTCCAAATTTGTAAAATTATGTGGTGTTTTCTTAAAAAGTTCAATGGTATCATTGTTTCTCGTTTTCAAAAGTATTCTAGCTCTTTTCACAGCGCTGGGCCAAGGACATTTTAAAGGTACACAATCAGGAATGAATCCAATCCAAGTACCATTCTCAATACACCTAAGTTTAAATTCGTTCAAACTATGATTGCCCTCAAACTTATATCCTGGGTGACAACTGTATTCAATAACTTCGTCAACATAATAATTTCTGTCGAATGTGTTATTTGCGACTTGTAATGTAAAACTTCTGGTGGATGTTTCTTGCAGATTGTTCGAGTTTTCAGAGATTGCATAGCCATGCTGAATCCTACATTATAAAATTATGTTAAAATGATATAAAATCGGAGTTTAGCAAATTATGTCTGTTTTGATTACTTCTTTGGAGGTGGACATCCATCAGGCACGCACGTGGGCCTCTCGTTATCCCACAGTCCAGATTCCAGACATGTTAGGAATCTTTCTCCTACTATGTGAAATCCGACGTCGCACTTGAATTCGATTTGTTGCCCTACCTGTAAAAGGTTATTTATTTCCTTTCCTTTTTTGAATAGCAATTAATTACCTGTAGAATAGAAAGATCGTCTCTTTCATATTCTTCTATCACGTACTCGATGTCGCCATTTTCTGGAGCCAATAAATTCCTACACGTTTTCCCTATTGAAGAAAGATATTAAAATTATTCTGATTTTTGCAAATAATTATGAATAAAAGCATGACTTTTACCTATACAGATCGGAGGTAATCCACTCCATTTTCCGTCGGCATTACAAACTCTACGTGGATTTCCTCGGAGCTCGTAACCAATTAAGCAAGAATAACGTATCTCATCCCCGAATAAAAATGATCTACCGTGCATACGACCTCGTGGAAAATATCCGGGAAATCCACATTTTCTTCCTCGAGTGAAAATAAACAATTCCTACATTAAATTCTGTGGCAATTGAAACAATGTAAAATGTTCCGAACGTGAGATCTCGAGTTGTTCATGGAATAAAAAATTACAGATATCATTGTTTACAAATGTGTGACAAATTACTATGGTTCTTAAAGGTATTGATGTTTGAGTTTGAAAGATAAGATCTCTTTGCACAAGTGTAGAAAGTTGTTTTAGGTCAAATGGTGGATTTCAGTAGGTAAAAATTGTGTTACAGTTTGTCTTTCAAAATTCGCCACTTGATATGAAACAGCTCAATATCTTATCAAAACTTAATGTAATTATTGACAATTTTTTTAAAATTTTCTTAAACATTTTATCAGCACTAAAAAATAATTTTTTCGGAATAAAAGTATGAATAGTATAAAGCTTCTCGTCTTACTGGTACAAACAGGTGTGTAATATCCCTCCCATTGTCCTTGTTTAAGACACTTAATTCTTAAAGATCGATACTCTTTGCCATAAAATCGCACCATGTAGCCATTGTCGCAATAATAGGTGATTTCCAGTGCATCGTCGCTGACATTTATGTTACCTTTGAATGGTACAACTGGCAAAGGACAACCGCGGCAAAACGGACTGCCTAATATCTGAAAATATTTCCTAAATAAAATTCCAATAAAAATTCTACGAAACTTTGTATTCGAATAAGCGTGTAATTACCGCGACATCGCCGTGGATATGTTCTTGCACCTGTGACCATGCAATTATGTTACCATTGTATTTGTCGCAGGTGTTGAACAAATGCTTCACATCTGTCATTTTTAAAACTGTGCTCCAAACATCCAGCAGTGTTAATTTTCCTAGAAAGGATTCCAACTCCGAAAATCCACCTCCGACGCGATCTTGTTCTTGACCGATTATTAGGGTTCCACTACCTTTTATTTTTAATATTGTTAAATTGAGAGTCAGTCACTCAATCATAATTTGAAGAAAAATTCATGCGATAATGTTAAATAAATAAAATATTTGATACCTTGAATTACTGTCCCTTTTGCCAAATGAGTTCCATTGTCTCTCAAAAGTCCATCAATGTACACGTTCCAAGAGCCATTTTGACTTTCCCAGGTGATGCAAATAAAATGCCAATGACCATCGTTTACTTTAATATCAGTCACCACTTTCTGACCATTGATATATATGACCAGTCTACAAGATTAAATTATTTTTGGTGATTTGAAAGAGAGGTATCTTCTTTGTTTACAAGGAACACTTGTTACCCATTATAGTCGGTTAAAGTAAACGCGTTATCGTAATAACTTGTTGCGTAGGATAACACCGTACCGTAGTTAAATGTATCCTTTGACTGCAGCCATAAGCATGTCGTCAACTAAAATTTAATATTTCACACACAATGTTTTACCGTAAAATTGTAAACATTCATCAATGTTTTTATAAAACTTTTATAAAATATTTTATCATTTTGCTGTAATAATAATATGATCATTTTTAAGTACCTCTAAAAGATTCGCTGCAGGACCGCTCATACTAACATAGTCCGTCGTTCCTGATTTAGAAAACTGTATGACATAATCGGACGACAATTCTGTAAGTATAATATTCAAATAGAAATAAAGAAATGATTTTATTTTTATAAGAAAAATCAAAGATGTTAATTTTATACTTTCCAGTCTCACAATGGCGTCCTGTGAAGGGAACAGAACAAATGCAAGTGTAATTGAAAATCTTGCTAACACAGGTCCCATTATTCAAACATGGAAAACTTTTACAGTGGTCAATCTTTGTTGTACAATTTTCTCCGGTATATCCTTCCACGCATTCGCATCTAACAAGTCATTATTTTATTGTAAATAACAGATAGATTCTTTTCTGTAAAATTATAGTGGACTCTCGTTATATTGCCGTCGAATTAAATGAAGGTACAAAAACTTCTTGAAGTTAGAAATATGATAGATTGGTCAGAAAACTATATTTTTTATATTGTAGCTATCTAACGTTTGAGGATATGATATGAAATATAATATGTTATGAGAGCATCTAAAAGTCCGTGTAAACACAGCAATATTACGAAATTCTACTGAATTATTACTTGCTTTCACCTGTAACTCAATCTTGTTGCATCTTGCTCCTCCACATTCACGCAGTACGAATTGCCATTACACGGTATCCAATCACAAGGCAACAAATTGCAATAACGACCCAGAAAACCGGGTTTGCAAATACATTGCCAGGTATCGTTAACATTTCTACAGGTAGATCCTTCCATGCAAGGTGAAGGGTCACAGTAATTCACGGCGGTTTCACAAAACTCCCCTAGATAATATGTATCAGGAATAGAATGTATAAGATTTATTTTTGGTATATCTATTAATTTACATTTGCACAAATATACCTTCAAAGCCATGTTTGCATTCGCATGTGTAATCATTTTCGGTGCTCACACAAGTACCGTTGTTTCGACAAGGATTAACAGCGCACTCGTCAATGTATAACTATAATCGCATTTTTTATTTGTAATTCATCTTTGTTTAATTTTGATTTTTACTTTAATGAAGGGGATTACCTCACAGTTACTTCCTGAATATCCGCTCTTGCAGCTGCAGGTGTAACAAACTGTACCGTTCGCGAAAGTTTGCAGGCTGCATGCTCCTTCGTTCAGACATGGGGAAGAATCGCAAGGATTTTGAAATGTTTCACATTTTGAACCTAACAGGAGGAAGAAATTAATAACATACATTATTATACAGTAGACTTATTGTCATCAGTATAATTATACTGAAAAAACTTTTGATTTATCATGTTACCATGTTCCAAAAATTTTCTTCCGACATCATTAATGACAATATAGTCTACTACAAATAGAGACTTGAAATCGTTACACATGTCTTTTATTCAATAACCTAGTACTATGTTCTTGACTATGTCTTCGTAGATATTAAATACTCACCGATATAATAGTTCAGACATTCGCAACTGAAACTGTCCTCTTCCTGCATACACTGTCCACCGTTCAAACACGATTCCCTTTGACAAATACCATTTTCAATTTCGTACAGTGGCAAGCAATCACTTCGATCCTTCGTTCCACGATATTTTGTGGTTGTATCAGGTGGACACGGAAGGCAATGAGTTTGTCCGTACTCAGGTTGATAAAATCCAATATTGCACATTAAACAAGGCTCGAGAGTGAAACGTGCAACTTGATAACGTTTCCTTCGGGAATAGTACCCTGGTCTGCATATACCTGAAGAAGTTGAAATACGTTTTGAAACATTTCATTAATATTTGAGTCCTTGTATAATGAAAGTATAATTTAATTTTTTAAGAAAATTTGATTTCATATATTTTTTAAATTTTTGGAGAAAAAATTTGGTGAATTAAATTTTATTTGAGAAGTGCATTGAAGTGCATTTATCGACAGCGTCGTTTATAAAGATTTGGGTTTTGAGCAAACACACCTGCAATATAATTGATATACTTACGTAAACAGTCCCGTGAAGACTTCGAGTGAACTTTCTTTGTGAAAGTGTATTCCGGACAGCGTTTACATTTTAAGGAACCAGTTGTGTCCTGGTATTCGCCGAAAGGACACGACTGACAACGTTTAGTCACCGAATTAAAGAAAGTACCCAATGGACATTTCACTACAGTTCAAATAAAGCAATTATTCGAATAAAACTTCTTACATTTTTTTTAAAAGAATAAAATCTATATAAAATCTAAATAAAATCAGAATAAAATCTAAGAATAAAGTATATTCACCACAAGTGTGTTTTTTCAAAACAGTCCCTGGATCGCAAATCTCCTGGAAATTCTTGAACACAACATGCAAGTTTAACGCCAGCTTCGCAATTTCTTGATTCGTCTTATCATTTAACAAATTCAATTTTCCAGACTCAGACATCGACTCGATTTTCTGTCTCAACTTTTGTACACCTTCTCGTGGATTGTCAACGTTTTCTTCAATTATTTTTCCTGCATGATCATAAGACTTGTTTGAAAAGAGTCATGAAAATATAACAAGTGACATTTACCTAAAAATTGGAATTTTATTTCAATTTTATCCTTCTTCTTCTTCATTTTTGATTTGGTTTTATTGATATTTGAATTGGTACTTCGTTTTAATTTGTTATCGATAGGATTCTTGATTGGGTGGAGTTCAACATCAGGAATGTTATAGTAATCAAATTCTCTTCGTTTTCTTGTCAAGTTTGAATAAATCGTTGAAATATTTTCTTCACATTCAGGGTCGAAGGTGATGAGATTGCACTCGATGTCGTTTCCACAAATATCTAGTAATGTTGACCTCAAGTCGGCGGTAATATATTTGCTGAGCTAAAATAGTGTAATGAACAATTTTCTAGAAAGCACATTCTGCAAGTTATTGTTTGCAATTTTAGATACTGAAATTTTGGGATGTTGAGATGTTGGAACTTCTAGTTAGATGAGCAACAATGAGCTAAGAGAGCAAAGGAAAGAATTAACTAATTAAATGAAAATGCATACTTCGCGAAGGGTAGTTTGATTATCGCAAACGATCGAAACGTTTCCTTCTAAGACAATGCTTCCTTCTTGAGACACTGTTTTAGGAGCACACGATTCTGCAATAAAAAATAAATCTACGATAGATTAGATATATACTATTACCATCATGGCCGAGTTTTACTCAGAATTTGCATAAAAATTGTATATAAATTAAACCGAATGAAACACCTGAGCAGTCAGGGATATAATGTTCCTCAGTCCAACTGGAACTGTTCGTGTCACACTTCAGTAACAAAATGTCTTCCACGATTTGATGGTTCGAGTCCTCGGTTGCAAATCCAAATCCCTCTTCGCAATTTACTGTACATTCACTAGTGTCGTTTGTCAAGTTAGAACATCTTGAGTAGCTGTTTAGTATCTTTGGAACTTCTTCACAGATATCTAACAATAAAAATGAGACATATGCACCGTAATTAATTCGAAATAAGAAATCTATATTGTATGAAACTTAGCACTAGACATGGATTATTGTGCAATGTTCTGTGAAATATTAATTAATTACTACCTTTTATAGTAATGTTTAGCACACAACTCGCATTGTTGTCAAACCTATCAATAGCATTGTACACGACTTTCGTCAATCCAATAGGAAACATGTTTTCTCCAGGACTATAGTTCTGTTCAACCTGGACAGGCGTTCTCGAGTTATCGTAGAACCCAGGTTCATCCCAGGTTACGTTATTTACGCCAATTCCATTATCAGTGTAAAATATTGGGGGGTTTATGCAATTCTCAATCATGGGTGGTTCTTTATCTGACATAAAAATACGATAATAGTTACAACTTTTTAATCATAATCATAGTTCTGGTATCGTAATCATAAATGTACACAATAAACAGATGGTTCTTACCAAGAACTTTAACTTTAAATTTGCATCTAGCTTTATTGCCAGATGAGTCTTGCGATACATACACCACCGTGCGTGTACCAATTTTTACTTTCCATGGAAAGCTAATATACGGTTTACTCCATAATGTCGGTGATTCGTCTACGTTATCAACTGTCGTGGGAATTGTCCAATTAACGTAAGCATAATTCTTTCCTGGCAGATTTTCTGTGATAATATCAGGCGGACACGTTATCGAGGGTGGTGTCTTATCTGAATAAAAAAGAAACATCATCGCAATTTACCCGAGATAAATTTAAAAATCTTGCAAGTATCTTCAAACTGAATTGCAAACTATAAGTTTACGAATTTTACCTGCACAACGATTAACGGTTCGACGCTGACTCCAAATACCAGAACGTCCACCACAAGTTTTACTTTTTGGTCCTTCGAGTACGAAACCCTTTTTACATGTAATTGTACAGTTTGTTCCGAACGGTACTTTTTCTGGTCCGGAACAAATTTTGGGAGAAATTTGACCGTTTGCGATTTGCTTCAATGGTTCACATTTTATGGCTACAAGTGAAGAATATTATTATACAGAGTGATTTTGCAAGTTGGGTCAGACTACCATTTTATTTTAGGTAAAGTTAAAAGAAAATCATAGCACAAAATTTTACACTTAATACTTTTATAAACTGTAGAAGAAAATTTTGCAGTACTCACCAGTTTTACAAATTAATGAAGAATATTTTACAGTGTTTGACAGTTTTATAATTGCACACTATTAAAAGTTTAATAGTTTTCGATATTAAGTCTGTAAGAAGGCTGTTTCATATAAAAATTTCAAATACCTTTGCAAGTAGCTTTAAGTCCATCCCATTGTGCTAATGGAAGGCAGTTACGAATTTTGCTGCCGCGAAGCTGATAACCGATTTCACATCTGAATTGGCAACGAGTATCGATCGGATATGCTGTAGAATTATCTCTGATCCGGTGCTGATCCTCTTCATTTTGACAACGCATACGCCCATGAGCAGGAACACGAAGTGCTGGACAAGTTTTCACTGTAAAATAAAATTATGTAACTTCATATTCTTGAAGAAAAAAATATAACTCATCTCAAATATAATTAAACATTAAATAAAATAATTCTATCTACCTTGTAGATACTATACGATACTTTAAAACTTACGTAAACATTTTGGTTCATTACCAGACCAACTTCCATCCTTCCCACAAAGCTGAATACTATCACCTATGAGATAAAAACCGATTCTGCATCTTATACCACAGGCTGCGTGCACAACATTGTTGCATGCGCTAGCTTTCACCAAATATCCATTTTCGGGTATTTTCAATTTTGGACACGTTATAACTGCAAATAAGAGAAAAGAAGAATTTTAAATTCACGAATAACTTCAGTACAAATGAATGAAAGCCATTTTCGTTAAATTTGATCCAGGATATATTTATCAAAACTTCGAACAATTCTAAAACTTTTATCTAGTGGATGCAATGGACTCACGCGACTACAGAGCTCGAGATTTCGTTTCCATCATCAAAAATTTTGACGAGAAAGTGAAGAAAGAGAGATGGTCGCAAATAAAATGGTTGCAGAAGTACGAATGGTTATTGGAGGAACAGAAGTACGTTTTTCGATCAAAATTAACCCCTGTACGGAAATTCGAAGAACTTCCATAAAGGAATATGTTTTATATAAATTAAAAATTTATTTTGCTTATTTACAACTTTACAAATTCTGTGCAAGGGTTAAACCCTATAAGTGTCGAATATTCATTGATGATTAATTATAAAGCAAATTAACTGAGGAACTGAAAAATCTGTGCGAGGAAAAACAAACTGTGATTCCTGCAGAGACGTTCGTTCGAGAAGAAGGAAAGACCTGTTTGCCAGCTCCTGTCACAACAAGTGGAGAAGTATTAACAAGAAACTGTTTTTAGTGTAATTAGTAAATGTGCTTTTCTTGCAGTATGGCTGGCTCGCTTCGAAGCCTAAATTTCAGCTAGAAATATACGGTTCTTACATACCAGAGTACCCTGATCCTCTTAAAGACATAAAACCTTTAACTGGAAAGTTTCCTATTCTCGCTCCTGGCAAAGGGTATTACTGGTAACAAGTTAAGGTATTCACCTTCACATTTGTGACCATCTGTGGTAAACCCAGAACCGCAAACGCAATGCTCCACGGAAGTTGCAGGTATTTTGACAGTGACATGATTGGCATCGGGACATGGTACACACATGGACGTTGAATCTCCAGAAATTTCGCCGGAAGCATACGTTCCGTTTGGACAAGCTGAAGAGAAATTGTATTAAAAAATATTTAAAAATGAGAAACAATTGTTTAACTCACGGTGACAAGAATCTCTGAAACCGGAGCCAAAATATCCTGTGGGACAAAGGCAAGAGTAATGACCGGTAGTGGTTCCGCAAGTGCAGGTCGCGAAATTATCGCAGCAATTCCGCTCGTTTCCTTCGCTGATATTCCTGCATAGGAGATTGCAATTATCTGGATATGTCACTGGCACGTATTTGCCCGTTCTCGAATCTGTAACAACGGAAATGGACCGAATTCGCGCTAGATAATTCACGCCTCGTACAATAACCAAGTGCACTTATGGTAATACAGTGTTCCTTAGTTTATTTATTCAACCTTCACAACTCGATAGTATAATCGGTGTTCCATAATTTATTTAATCCTCGTTGATATCAGATTATATTAGACTCGGTATATTTTGATCCAGTTCAACTCACCTCGGTGTAAAGCTCGTCGAGCAAGAGCTTCGAATTCGGAAAAACTATCGAGAAAGTAACTATACGTATATCCAGGATAACTAGCTATATCGTGAAGTTCGTCCACGTTTCCCGTTCGTATTCCAAAAGTGAAGATCGTTGCACCTGCACTTTTCAGAAGGTTCGCCGCAGGTCGAGGGTCACCACCGTTGCTAAACCCATCTGTTATAAGAAACACTGCCTTCCTCGCATTCGGTCGACCCTTCTCCAGAATTCTCTGACAATTATTAATATTTTACTAAATGTTTCTAAAAAGACTTCAATTACATTTGAAGTTATTCTTTATACATGAAGAGGAATGCTTACAAACGCTTCCAACAACGCACCCCTCGTGTACGTTCCACCACCGGTGTAATTAATGTTCTTTAACTGTTTGTTCAACAAATAACACTTATTATCGATCTCACTGCTGCGAGATATTTGATCAACGTTTCGTCTGATGTTTCTTCTACCTCCGAATGTTACTATTGCAACTCTGGTTACCGATGGTTCCACGGAAAAATCGGACAAGAGGTTTTTGACAAAGTTCAGTTCACTCTGGAAATTTTTTAGGCCGACTGATCCTGATGCGTCGACAAGAAATACTAATTCCATCTGATAATTATTTTCAAATATAATAAGTAGATTAAGTTTATATTTTTGTTTATTGAAAATTACAAACATAACATCGACTACCTGATCAGTTTCGTTCCTCAAGCGATCGACATGAATTTTCAAAAGACGCGACAGAGTATTCGCTTTATTCTTGAACGTTCTTTGAACGTTCTCCAAGCTTTTATTAAACGCATGATTCGCGTGTCTTCTTTCCTTGAAATCGACAATTAACCCTGTATCAACCGAACCCACTTCGAAACCTTCGAATCTGCTAAAATCATGGAAATACGCAATCGCGATCAACAAACGAGACAGCAAACCGATCAGTATACATTTCCTTGCGACGGAGCTAATCATCTTTACAATTTACATGCTTCACAAATTTCTCTATAAAATTTGATTCCGTGATTTTACGATAGTTTGAATTTTGTCATAATCTTTTTGCGGATTGCCTTTCGTCGACGTTTGCACATATCATTCGAGTATTTCTCTGTGAAACTCGTGGATCACGTGGTTTTGGAAAAAGAAATCCGACGATGTTTCGCGATACACGAGGCGCGAAACCGATCTAAAATGGCGAACTGCCGTGAAGGCACTTATTTCCGGTGGAACATCGAAAGATCGACTAACTGCCACTTTGGGCCAAACTGGTGCTACTTGTTCGACGGGGGAATCGTGTAAACGAGTGTTCAAGTTGTGTCCGAGCTTTGAAAAGTTGAGAACAAGGGACTCTCTGTTCCGTTTATGTATACCATGCACACGTGTTCATTCTCATCGACTGATCTCGACGAATGTTCAATTTATTAAGAAATTCCCTCGGAGTTTCTTCCCGTACGTGGCTATAATCTAGTTCGCGTATCGATGAAAATGGCGAGATGATTATGAGAAAGGTCACGGCGATTATGGGAAAGGCAAACTCTATCATCGGCTCTGCTGTTACGTTACGAACATTTGTAACGCTCACGAACGTTTTTAAATTTACCGAGAAATCGGCCGACGTAAAATATCCACGATGCGGGAGCAAATTTCCTGACGTTATACAAAGAAGGGTGTCATGTTTATGTCACGTGTAAGAGAAATGTTGGTAGGGTGTTTCGCAGCGGCAGCAAGTGAGGTCAGAAAAACGTAACAGTTTCCGTGTGACCCGCATGCATATCGCATCAATGCGACGTATATAAATTGATTTTTCTCGCCGGATATATCGCGCGAGAGTCTACACGCGCACGTCGATTCTACGATGATCAAAACTAGTCCAGTGTCTTCATGATATCTTCTTGCGTTCTCATCGATATTATCTCCCTGTTCTTTGTACGAAAACATTGCAACGAGAATTTCTTTATCAAAAGTCGACGTCCGTGAAATTAACCAGTTACCATTAAGAATCAGTATTTTATTTCGTCCACGCATCTGTTCTATTTTTAGAGGGAGGAACACTCTCTCAAAAAGATCTGTTAGTTAGAAACGGTACGCGGTCACGGGAAAACCGAGTCATGTCGATTTTGAGCGTGATAATCGTTCTGTTGATCACCGGTTGCATTGGTCAAGAGGAGCAGACACCGGAAGTTCCTAGTTTCTTCCGTCCATCGGGGGAGAACCGAGGGATACAAGTATTCTTCGAGCAATGCCGTGACACCAATCTATGGAAAGGTCAGCTGGCACGCGTCAATGTCTTCGCGTTTTTAGATCCTTCTTGGTACTACAGTTATAAGCAGACAATCATGTAAGTCTATTGGATCGATTCGATTATGATTGGCATGTGCAACAAAATTATTTTGTAGAACTTCTATAGGAAAAACAAGGGTAGGATATGGCTTTCTTAATTTTTGGATGGTCAATATTTAAATTAGAAAACATCTGGAGATTTAGGGATTTGAAGTCTGGAGATTTGGGACTTTAAAGATTTAGAAAATGGTCTTTGACATTTAGGACTCCTACACATTTCAGAAATATAAGTCAGATCCATCAAATCGTTTCTTAGCTAAAACACGTACCATAATCTCCTCTTCACGATAAAAAGTAAAATTTTTTTTATAGAAAATTACTTTAATTGTTAAGGTTAAAATTATTGAAAGAACGATTAGTCAAAGCGGGCTTCACGGATATTTTGTTCTTCGCCGTGACACCGCCGCCGGACTTGCCAGAAAATACCTCGGGGAATCGTATCGAGATAAGAACATGGAAGGAAATGTCTAAAATTTTATGGAGATCGGAATATTCAGCTTACTTAGACGAAACGGTGTTTAACGATAAAGATGACAAGAATGATATAATCGTCCTTCAAGACACTCCTGAATTGAACATTTGGGAAAATTTTCGCGCCTTGAAGGATGAAGTGATAATCGTCGATGGGTGAGCTTTTATATTCTAGTTTAAGTATCCTTTTAACAGAAGAGGATCGATTAGAATACATTTTAATATTTATAGAAAATCTTACGTTATTATTACAGTTGTGGAAAACTGACTTATCAAGTTATAATTCCTTGGAGCATATATCTCCCTTACGTTAAAGCAGCCATTCTTGCGACGTACAACGAAGACCCTTGTGGTCCTTGCGATGTAAGCATGCTTCAAACATGCGAACACAGTTTATACCCATTTTTAATCCATTGATAAACTCAGTTCATTATTTATACATTTGTATGTGTTGTCAATGTAATCCTATGTTAACTACCCATTTGTTCTTTCATCTTTAGAACAATATAAGAGAATTTGAATTAATTTATTTTAATCAACGATTAGGTGCAAACGTCTCAAGAAAGCGATTTAATGTACTATGAAGATGATCTAAGAAATACGAATTTGAACGAAAAGGAAACAGAGAATGAGCAAAAGAGAATTGAAGATGGGCAAAATACGAGTACCACTTCTTTTAATATGAATATAACTTCTGATACCACAGTAGCTATAGATACAAATTATAATAGCACGAATCAATCGAATAAATATATTCCGACGACGGAAGAAATATCGACTATGATACCAGATTTAGAAACTACTGTCAATACACAGACAAATGTAGATAATAACAATTCGTTTTCAGCGATTAATAACGTGTACATCGATAACAGTACGAATAGTGAAAATAATTTAGGTGTCAAAGTAGGGGAAGAAGGTAGTTCTTCAATTTGTATATTTCAACAATTTTTTTTACAAGTTTTTAAATAACATTTACAAAGTTCCAAAATTAAAGAAAATTGTAAATAAAGTAAATTCACTCTGTAGATCATAATGCTACAAGTGAAGATACTCGGAGAGAAGAGAAAGTACAGACTGAAACCGAAACATTGCCATTACGCATCATATTATATGCTCCTCATTTGCATCAAGAAGCCGATAGGTTGAAAAAGTACACACACATGGTATTAAAGACAGGGAGTCCTGATTATCACGATCATTTCAACACCAAGAATGAAATGCCTGATCAAGAAGTAATATCAAATGTTTCGAATATTTTGTAATGCATTCAAGTAGACAAATGTTTAATTTTATTAATCCTTTTCTTTTAATTGCTACAAACGATAAGATAGTAGTACCCCAAAAATTGAATTCATCGATGTTAGAGCATAAAACGTTAACTGAATACGTGAACAATATAAACGAGAGCCCAGGAACGTACGGAGAAATTGCAGACTATTGGCGAACTCAAGATGGCGCAGAAATTACTGATAAAAATGAAGATGCAGAATTTCTAGACTACGACGACACTACGGTAACGACAGCTAAAATATTTATGTATGAGTTTGCATTTCAATCGAAATGTTTTTAGGCGGACGATACAGAAAGTAATATAAATGATGCCTCCGTAAGTGAAAGCAGCATCGTGAGACTAAGTGATGCAATTGACACGAATACAAATATTGAAAATAACGATGATACGAATGACTTGATGCAGCAAAGATTAATGGACCATTATGATAGACTGTTAACATGGATTTACTACAATATTTAATGAACAGATCATGTTTATTCAGGAAAGTGTATTCCATCGAGATAATGCGTACACTGTACATGCTTATACGAGTATGACATCTAGATGATTGTAAGATAGATATAAGAGAATCTTATTTATACACCGATTTAAAGTTTGTAAACGATTTTATACACATGGGAGTAGTCAGGTTACCAAGGAGGAGAGACAAGATGTGCTTTAACATCATCATATACATCATATTGCTTTAAAAGGATTGTAATTGAATTCCTTTTTCCCCAGGAAGGGACAAAATCCAATCTATTTTCTCTAGAACTACATTCGTGAAACGTATGAGTTTCTTCTCTCTCCTTCCAGACTACACCCATATTCATACATTGTAAATATATATATTAATATGAACACATAGGGTACAATTATGAAATGTTACTTATACATATATTATAAATAAATATATGAATTTGGAGAATGTTTTTACAGAGATTTTTGAAGTACATCATTATCAACATAAAGATGTAGAAACGCATGTAAGAGTTAAACGTTAAGTGCACGCTTTTAAAATTTCTTCTGGTTCGCTCGCGTCATCGGAATCTAAACTGCTACTGTCGCTTGTTGTAGTAGTTGAAGTACTACTTTCTGAATCACTTTCAGAATCTGTATCACTGCTGTCACTTGAACTCGAACTGCTTGATAACCTGTACCAAAATAAATTACATGTATATTAGGTGAAAAGATAAATTGCATATTTTCTTTATTGTGCGATTTTGTTCATGCTTTGTGTGCACATCTGATTGCAGTTTGTTATTCTTATCATTGATGATCAATTTTGCGAGATGATATCCATGTAATCTATCAAAGAGTAGTGCATTTTAGTTAGTATATTATATTCGTGTATCATAAGTGAAGGTATATGATATGTACAATTATTTGTTCCATCTATTAAGGGTATAATCATTTAAGCTTTGTTAAAGCGATAAAGCTATTGAAACAAGTTATTCAAAACAATTCTATTAAAATACTTACAAATACTTTAAAGAATGTTTGTCTTTAATGTAGTATATAGTCTTTGGCCTTTAAAATAAAATTATACAACGTAAAGACATATAATATTACCCAGTGAAACCTTAAGTTTGATCATATTTATTAAGGATGTTATTTGTTTTACTTACTTGCTCTTGTCATTGTCGTTAATTGTTAAGTCATCAATTTGATCTACTATCTCATGAACAGAATTTTCTATGATAAGATCTTCTTCTTGAACAGAATAAGCTGCCTGTTCTAATTCTATTAAATCAAGTCCCATTTCTTCCTTACTGGGTTGAATCTTGAAAAGAACATTATGTATTTCAATATCTTGTATCAGTTTTGTGTTCAGAATTGTAACTACTTACATTAGCAATTAAAGAGTCCAGTAATTCTATTAAAGATTCATTAATTTGTTGTAACCAAATTAGATAATCTTTTATATACAACTGATTTAGTATGTAGCGTGGTTCACATGAATTATTAAACATACCGTGAATTTCACAGAAACGTTTTATAATATATTTTTTACCTGTTAATGAAACATATTTAATACGAGAATGAAGAAGATTAAAGATAACAATATTTAATTACATACCTAACTTAATAACTTTCTTTACATCTTCAAAGACTTTTGTAGAAAGTTTCCAATTTCGAAAAAGTGGGTAACATATTGATCTTCTAAAACACGCTCTTACAACTTCTTCTGGGGTAGAAAAATCCTAAATAAACATTGTTACAAATCTATGAAACAATGTAATATTAATAATTTAATAAATTAGTAAGATAGTTAACATACATCAAACCAAGTCAATGTAGAACTTAATTTGTTCACAGTCCAACTACTTTCAACTGTATTTTCTCCTAACGTTGTTCTATGATTGTAACAGTTTCCAAATAAAATATCAACTAAGCTTAAAAGTAATTTATGTGTTTCTTCATTATTTAATAAATATTCTTTATTGGGAAGCTCTTTTAATAGATCCACTTCAATCTCATTAAACGAAATGTTATCTTTTTCTAAATTGTCCCATTCTGCAGTAAACATTATATATGGTTCTATGCATTCTGGCTGCATAAGATCTGCCAAATAATGTTCCTCATTAAAATCTGAAAGTTCACGTTTCTCTCTCAAAATTTTTCGTTCAGACTGGGGTGTTACATCAGGCATTGGAAGATCTATCACTTCTTTAATCCAAGATGACTAAAATTAAAAGTGATAAAATTGTATGACAATCTTTCTGTGACATTAGCAATGATATATAAAATGAATATTCTGAAATGTATACCTCAAAAGCTACTAAAGCTCCAGATATTTTGTTTGCAAAACCATATTTTGGAGAAGAAGATAAAAGAGGTACAGTTTCATTAGGATTGTTTTGATGTATGTACCATTCATCCCCATTTGTATTTTCATCTAATATATTATTACATTCATTTGACACTTCATTTATGTCTTCTGAATTTGCTGATGGATTTCCTATAGTATAAAAATATGAGAGTAACTTGGAAACACAAAAAATAAATGTAAATACAACAATATTTACCAATTACTTCAATATTTGGAACATTTATGTTCTTCTTTTTTGAGGGAGCTAACAATGTGCTTATCATATCCAAATTTTCAAAATATTCTCCTTGGTTTACTTTAGAAAATCTTAAACAGAAATCCCCCTTCTCACAATCGTAAGATCCAAATGAAGAATCATTTTCTTCTATCTCACCTGGAAGCTTCAACCTAAAATAAAAAGTTTTGCAGAATTTCTTCTAAATTATTATTAGTGTTTCAAAGATATACAAACATAATTCTTACAAAGTAATATTTTACCTTAAATAATATGGCGTAGAATAAAACCTAAAATCTGTGCCTTCAACATAAACTTCTGTATCCTTAATATTGGCATATGGCGCATGAATAATTATTACAACTTCTGTATCTGTTTGAGTTATTTCGAATCGTGGAGTCAACATATTTGTAATATAGTTAAAAAAACTTGTTTTGTTTCAGAAATTGAAAAAATTAATATATTAAATCACTATTACTATTATAGTAGACATTTGTGCTCACAATACATATTAATAAATGATTTATTATATATCACAGTTTTATATGTACAATAATGTATAAAAAATCATTAAATGTTAAATTCTTTACAAATCATATGTAAAATGTTATTTATTGTATAATATAAACAAATTCAGTTTCTTTATTTAGTATTTATGTTCGACCTTCTATTTGTTAATTACACTCCAGAGTATAAAATCAATTTCTTTCCTCCTTTTCACTAATTTTCCTGATGTTTTGTGACCTTCCAATTTTGTAAACAGCAATGTAACTGAAGTAGCTCACAATCGTTCCAGAATCAATCGCACATAGTTGGTATATAGTATATCTACACTAGCGCCGCTGAGAGCGGTTTATCAAATGGTAAAAATTTCATAACCTAAGTAGTTTGTAATGAATTTAAATGTTGTCAAAAACTATTCTTCGTAAAATAGGCTGTCATATTAAAGGTATTAAAGTTATTTATTTCTTTAATGAGCTCTTTTATAATTCTTTTATTTTACAGAAATTTAAAAACGTAAGAGAACTTTTATCACAATGGTACAACATAAGCATACACGTTCTTCACGTGTGACTCCAAAACATTTAGATCCAAAATGTTTAATGTTTTCTATGTTTACTGCAAATGACATAAGAAATTTAAGCGTTACGAAAATAAGAACACCTTTATCATTTAATATCTTAGGACATCCACTGAAAGGAGGTTTATATGATCCAGCATTAGGTAAATAAAAAAAATAATTTATTGTATATTGCATGTTATATGAATGTTATATATTAATTTACAAATATTGTTAATTTAGGTCCACTTTTAGAAAGCTCAGATCCATGTGGAACATGTGGATGCAATGTATTCAAATGTCAAGGTCACTTTGGGCACATAGAACTACCCATGCCAGTCGTCAATCCATTATTTCATAAGGGATTGTGCATGTTAATTAAGTTGGCTTGTTTAAAGTGCTTTACTCTACAGATTCCACCTTATGTCAAATTATTGTTATCTACAAAACTAAGGCTACTTCAACAAGGATATCTCAGTGATGTTGAAGGTTTAGAACAAGAAATAATGTTTATTGTTTCAAATTCAAATGACCCTTATGATGTTGATTTAGAATCTTTACAAAATGTGACTGATGACTACATAGAAAATCTTATTAATAAATCAAGGTTTAATCAGTCTGCTGTGCAATATAATGAAGATCAGTTGAATACAAAAAATATCAATATGCAATGGCATATGTATGTTGAAAATGTTCTTAAGCAATACACAGCTCCAAAAATATGTAAGAATTGTCAAAAGCCTATACCAAAAATTACAACATTAAGAAATAAAATTATGACAATTAAAACTCCTAATGAAGATGAAAAGAAGATTGAAAAGGTACGTTCGCGTGGAACAATTCACAAATTGGAAACAACCATGATATTGCCAGATCAGTCTAAAGAGATTCTTAGAAAACTTTGGGAAAATGAAGGGAATTTTCTGAAAATTATTTTACCTTGTTTTGGAATGGTAGATATTGAATATCCAACTGATGTCTTTTTCTTTGAAGTGATACCAGTTTTGCCACCTATAGTTAGACCAGTTAACTTTGTTAATGGTCAAATGATAGAGCATCCACAGTCTCAAGTTTACAAAAGCATTATTCAAGATTGTCTTGTCCTTCGTAATATTATTCAAACAATTCAAGATGGAAATACGAATCAGTTGCCAGAGGAGGGTAAACTTGTTTTTGAACAAATAAAAGGTAATACAGCAATTGAAAAATTACACAATGCTTGGCAAAGTTTACAAATAAATGTGGACCATTTGATGGATCGTGACATGAATAAAACAGCAGAGTCTGCAAATTGCCAGGGATTGAAACAAGTTATAGAAAAGAAAGAAGGAGTTATTAGAATGCATATGATGGGAAAAAGAGTAAATTTTGCAGCTCGTTCGGTTATTACACCAGATCCTAATTTAAACATAGACGAAATTGGTATTCCTGAAACTTTTGCTTTGAAGTTAACATATCCGGTACCTGTTACCTCTTGGAATGCTGCGTGGTTACGAAAACTGATTTTGAATGGTCCTGATGTTCATCCTGGTGCAGTAATGGTTGAACACGAAGACGGAAGTGTACAGAGAATTTCTGGCGATAACGATCAACAACGAAAAGCTATTGCAAAACGTCTTTTAACCAGTGATAAAGCACATAAATTTTTCAAAGGTGTTAAAGTAATACACAGGCATTTACAAAACGGAGATATTTTATTATTAAATCGTCAACCAACTTTACATAAACCCAGTATAATGGCTCACAAAGCACGTATTTTAAAAGGAGAGAAAACATTACGTCTTCATTACGCTAATTGTAAGGCTTATAATGCAGATTTTGACGGTGACGAAATGAATGCACATTTTCCACAAAATGAACTTGCTAGAAGTGAAGGATACAATATAGCCAATGTGTCTAATCAATATCTTGTACCCAAAGATGGTACTCCATTAAGTGGTCTTATTCAGGATCACATGATTTCTGGTGTACGTTTAACGGTAAGAGGAGCATTCTTTTCTCGTATAGATTATATGCAACTAGTTTATGCTGCTTTATCGACGATAAAAGATGATATAATTCTTCTTCCACCTAGTATTATCAAACCGACACCTCTGTGGTCCGGTAAACAGATTGTATCGACCGTTATTATCAATATTATCCCGCCAAATCAAGCACGTATTAATTTAACGGCAAGCGCTAAAATCAATGCGAAAGAATGGCAAGTCGCAAAAGCAAGACGTTGGAGATGCGGTACTGAATTTTCAAATCCTAAAACAATGTCGGAGGCTGAAGTTATCATACGAAATGGAGAATTATTGTGTGGAGTACTGGATAAAACCCATTACGGTGCAACACCATTTGGTCTTATACATTGTGTTTTCGAACTGTACGGTGGTGATTGTTCTACAAAATTATTAAGCGCATTTGGTAAATTATTTCAAGCTGGCTTACAACTAAATGGATTCACACTAGGTATTGAAGATATCCTGCTGTTAAAAAAGGCAGACACGAAACGTAGAGAAATTATATCTAATTGTAGAAACATTGGAGAAGACATTCAAAAATCAATATTGGAATTACCTGATGATACATCCACAGATGTAGTTACCTCCAAAATGGAAGAATCTTATTGGAGTAACCCTAAATTTCGTGCGCAGGTCGATCGAAAATATAAAACCGCTTTAGATGTTTACACTAACGATATAAATAAAACATGTTTACCAGCTGGTCTTCTAAAAAAATTCCCAGATAACAATTTACAATTGATGGTTCAGTCTGGTGCAAAGGGTTCTACTGTAAATACTATGCAAATATCTTGTTTGCTTGGACAAATAGAATTGGAGGGAAAGCGGCCACCGTTAATGATAAGTGGAAAAAGTCTTCCAAGTTTTCCGGCATATGATCCAACGCCAAGAGCTGGTGGTTTCATCGATGGTCGTTTCATGACAGGTATAAAACCTCAAGAATTTTTCTTCCATTGTATGGCTGGTCGTGAAGGTCTTATCGATACTGCTGTAAAAACTAGTAGATCAGGATATTTGCAACGTTGCCTGATTAAACATCTTGAGGGATTAGTTATTAACTACGATACAACAGTACGAGATTCAGATGGTAGTCTAGTACAAATTTATTATGGAGAAGATGGACTTGATGTACCAGGTTCACGGTTCTTGAGGAAAGAACAGATAAACTTTTTAGTGGACAATAAAAACGCGATCATCGATGAAGAAGACGCAAGATACTTGAAAGAAGTTTCAGACACGGATAAAATCTTGAAACTGGTAAAGAGAATTAAGAAGTGGGAAAGTAAACACGGAAGTTCCTTACAAAAGAGAAGAATTAGTCCATTTGCAAAATTCTGTGTAGAAAATACTAATACTATTAAAGCCTCAAAATTTAAGAGATTGGATGAAAACAGTGGAAGAAGTAAAGCTGCACTTTCACTTATGAGGAAATGGATAAGAACCACGGAAGAAGAGAGGAAACCAATTTATAATCAATGTACCGAATGTCCTGATCCAGTGATGTCGAAGTACAGACAAGACGTAGACTTTGGTGTGCTTTCCGAACGATTAGAAAAATTAATAGATGAATACATGGCCAGTACATCTAGAAATGTTGATGTTAGTAGAAAAGATTTAAGGGATATCCTGTCGATGAAAGTGATGAAAATTGTTTGCCCACCCGGTGAACCGGTAGGTTTATTAGCGGCGCAATCAATAGGAGAACCATCCACTCAGATGACCTTGAACACTTTCCACTTTGCTGGTCGTGGAGAAATGAATGTCACGCTAGGTATACCTAGATTGCGTGAAATACTTATGATGGCATCGAAAAATATTAAAACACCTAGCATGGAAATACCGTTTAGGAACGATTTAAAAAATGTAACAAAAGTCTCTAATAGGTTGAAACTAAAATTGACAAAGTGTATTTTGTCAAATGTTTTAGATAACATTAGCGTAAATAGGAAATTGAAACATACTCCAAATAGGCAACTAGTATATACTATAAATATGAATTTTCTTCCATATAAATCGTACAAAGGAGAATTTTGTGTTCAGCCGCATGAAATATTGAAGAAAACGGAATTTGTATTTTTCAAAGAAATGTTTAGGGAAATCAAGAAAGTTGCTAAAGTAGCAGGTGCTTTGCTACATGTTGAAGAGGAAAAGAAATCACCATATGACAACGACGCATTACTGGATCAAGCTGAACCTGATGAAGGAGCAGAATACAGACCTCGAGCAAACTTAGGAGAAATGCACGAGTCTTCAGATGAAGAAGAGGCAGCAGAAGACGCGGATGCAACGTTAACGCGATCAATTTCTCGGCACAATGAAAATCAAGAATATGAAGATCCAGAAGAAGAGGAAATAGATGATGCCAATGAAAAAGATGATGATGTAGAAATGGAAAATGAGAGAACAGAAGGTACAGAGCAGCCAGAAGAAGAAGACGAAGCTGAATATACAAAAACAGAAGTAAGCAGTAACCGTAGAAAGAGAGATGTAAAAGGCATGTACCATAATGTGCTAGACTATGATTATGATGAGGAGAAATATTCATGGTGCAAATTAACATTTTGGGTATGTATCACAAGGGTGCATTAGGAGTATATTTTATAAATGAGCATAAAAATTATAATTTTTATTTTCCAGCTACCTCTTAACATGATAAAATTAGATTTACCAAGAATAATTAGAACTGTGGCAGAAAAAGTTGTTTTATGGGAGGTTCCGTATTTAAAACGAGCATTTACATTCCAGAATAATACTGGAGATACTATCCTTAAAACGGACGGTATAAATATAATAGTAAGTAAATTTATACATTCATACGTAATTTTACATTTTATTGTTAATTCATATCACTTATGTATTTTTTTACAATATAGGAAATGTTCAAATATGATAAATCGCTAGATTTAAATAAATTGTATTCGAACGATATTTATGGTATTTCTCAAACATACGGCATCGAAGCAGCTAATAGAGTTATTATGAAGGAAGTAAAAGACGTGTTCAAAATGTATGGTATCACAGTCGATATTAGGCATTTATCGTTAATCGCGGATTATATGACATTCGATGGTACATTTCAACCTCTTAGTCGTAAAGGAATGGAGGATTCAGCTTCACCATTGCAGCAAATCAGTTTTGAAAGTTCTCTTACGTTTTTGAAAAACGCCACGTTACAAGGTAAAAAAATAAAAAATAAAAATATTTATGAAAACAAAATTTCTTAAGAATTAAATCTTAAACATCTGTACTTTTTATTTACAGGAAAACGAGACAACTTGGTATCTCCTTCCAGCAGATTAATGTTGGGCCAACCTTGCAAAGCTGGTACTGGAATATGTTCAGTGTTGCTAAAAATGCAACCAGACCTAGAGACTTCTTTGTCAGTGGGTGCATAAATAAATGATTATGAAATGTTTATAACAGATTTATGTTGAAAATACGATAATAGTGATATAATTGTACATAAATTTAATACTTTATGAGGAAGTTCGATTTTGATCTCCTTTTTCATCGACTATTTAGATAAAATAAAAGTAATCACAGTGTGCATATATATTTTTATAAGCTGATTATATTTTATTTTGCAACAAAACGTTTATAATAAAACTGACAATGCATTATCAAAAAATTCTGTATCTCCTTATATTTACTTTACAGATGAAACATAACTTCATTTTTAATGATTATATGGCTTTTGCTAGTTACTCTTACTGATTAATAGTAATCAATAGACATTTCTGCTTAACAAAACTTTATTAATAAAATTGATTATATTCACTTGTATTTTAGAACTGTGTTTTTAACTCTATCGTAGTTAGCGCCTGCAAATGTTTCGACCTAAAACAGATTTAAGACATTAGTACTTAATCATGATTTTCTTGTAGCATAAAATAGTTATTCATTTAAAGAAACACATACCACTTTGCCACTCTTGATGAAAACAAAGGTAGGCATACTAGTGATTTCATATTCATTAGCAAGATCTTCACACTGATCAACATTAACTTTGAAGAAGAGAACACCGGTCATTTCCTGTTAAACAAAAACATGCTGTGTAAAAGGTATAATAGAAATTTAATAGAAATTTTTCTAAACAAAATGACTGACCTTTTCTAATTCTTCTATTTTAGGTGCAATCATTTTGCAAGGACCACACCATGTTGCGAAGAAGTCGATTACGACTAAACTGTCGCCCGCCTTCTCCAACTTGCTCTTCAAATCTGCCTGTAAAAGTAATTTATACATTGTTAAAAAAATAATTCATTTTGAGAAAAGTAATCAGTCGGAAATTTTTTGTTATGCTACTTCCGCTAATAGTGCGATTCTTGTTTTAAAGTATTCTTAGTTAATACAAAGATTCAAACAAAAATAATTTTAAAAACAATTGCAATAAAAATGAAGGGGTGGTACCGCGGATTTTAATAACTTTGAAATATGTTATCAAGGTCAATATCCTAACTTTGCGCAAAAAATTCAATTAAATCTACGTTAAGAATATAGATGTTGTTTGTGTGTTATTGAGATACAAATATTATTTTTAATTCCCCCTGGCATACTACATTTCAACATATGTCCCGCCGTTATCGTTTAATTATTTTTTTGCGAATATCTTCCCGATATATGATATCAATGTTTTATCGAAAATAATTAATTTTATTTATTAAAAATAGTACGAAACTTTCGATTTAATTCAGATGTTTCAGAATCAATATTGTGTCGATAAAATCTGCACAAGTGGTAATTCTAGTTAAATTGCATGCTCGTGTATAATAAATTATTTCAATTCCACGAACTATACATATACGTTTATAGTTCTTGTCACGACACATGTACATTCCAGTGCATAGGTTTCCTTTGGCTATAAAAGTGGAGAACTTTCCACAACTTGTCTTCAATTTTGAAGGGATCAAATACGTAACATTAAAATTCCTCAATTTTCTTTACATTTTTATATATTTGAAAGTTTGTCAATCAAAATATAATAAATGATGGAGTCATTTTCATTGCATTGATTTATAGATATACTTACTACGTTTGCAACTACATTTATTTTTGTACATTTTGGCTAAATCCAAAAGTTGACTGACCGCCAGTTAGTGTCCGTCTACAGTACATGTGTATCATATTTTGCGGTCGTGTACAGAATAGAGAAAAAATAATGAGGACAGTGGAAAAAACGATGATGTGGAGGAAAATACCAAATAAAAGATTACCGCATATTCATGTTTAGTGTCATAACTATCGTATTAGCGCATGCGTGTCATCCTTGATTACAAAATATATTAGAACCAATCAGAGCTAACATGCACAGAAGGAAAACTCGTCCGCCGATAAGTATGTACACTCGAGAGCAAATTTGACTTCCTTTGCGGCTTCTTAAATTGAAGTCGAGGGAGCCACTATCCACGTGTGACTTTACGCGATACAAATTAGTTGCTTCCTAACCAAGTTTCACATCGAGACCATCATTACTTTTACCCATTATAAAATGAATCAGTTTGCCGTTAAAGGTAAACATTCGTTCAGAAAAATTTTGTTATTTATTCGGAGATGCCTTCTGTGAATCAAATCTGTCAATGATCCGGTGTTACAACGAGTGGTGGGGACCGCTTCCCCTTGGCCGCCATTTCCTCCAGGAAAGCCAGATTTTGCTTTAGAGTGTACAATCTCTCGTGACGGGGACTATAGTAATTGAAATTATTTATGGTTGACGTAATGCTACACGAACACCATGCTTGGAAATGTTAATTGCATATTCTGCGATGTTTCAATCGGGTAAAATAATGTCAGTATAAGGGATTCACCGAACTGTTTATGACCGCAATTACACATGTTTCGAGGAAACTCTTTTCATGAAGAATTTTTCATAGTTAAGTCGAACAAACTGGAATCAATAATTTCAAGGTCAACTAGTTTCACGGAAAGTAGGATAATGATCGAATAAACTGCGCTGCAAACGAAATTAAATGCATTCTTCTTTTAATTAGTGTGATTACTCAACGTACAAGAATTTTATACGCAATTAAACATATTTCACACGTGGAGAAAAAATATGAAAATTAGTAGATATTTTTTAGTACTCACGGAATTCTCAACCTCGACGATCATTTTTATTTCTTACAAGAAATACGTTTGGAAATGAAGCACAAGTAGCGCACAACTGCTCGTTTCGGTACTTCGTTAGCGACTGAGCGACTGTGGTCAGAAATTCTGACTCAGATCCTCGGTAGTTCCGTTCTTTTCTCTCCTTCTCTTTCGTTCTTTCAGGCTAACTCTTTTTCACTTCAGGATTCGCTTTCTCCTTCCTATGTTTGTGTTCTTAGGGTGGTGTCACGGTTAAACACGAAGTGTGGCGAAGCAAAGCGAAGTGCGTGCCGACCATATTTTACTCGTGGTTCGACGAAAGAGCTCCGAAGATCCGCGAACATCTCCGAACGAAGTAAATTACGTTGTATGAGTACAATATACCTGTATGTAACTTCCTAGTAACTTATGTCGTAACAAGGAAGTGGATTCGATTACCAAGGAAATTCTATAAATTCGACAAATACATCCATGGATTTGAAACCGCATTATTATATTATATAATAAACTACTATTGTTATTTTATACTTGTACAAAACGTTATTTAATATTCCTTCTGTTGACTTTAATTGCGACAATTCTGTCCACCCAAGTCTCGTCTTTATCAATGATAAGATATTACGCGGACTTTGTGTTCTGACAGTTTGTGTTTCAAAATAATATAATACATTATTACGGTTTTATAATATCTTGCGCTCAATATCTCGTTTTATTTAATAAAAGTTATGAAATATATTTGAAAGTTTCCAATGCAGATGAATAATATTTGTATTTTGATTTTCATTATTTATGAAATGTTGGCGGAAGGAACAAACTTTATAAACATTGGCTTACAAAATATGTAATTGTATCAAGAACTTCCACCGGTATATAACTTTAGTTCTGAAACAATATGGGCCAAAGCTATCGATCATCGCAAGATCGATATGGCAAGAACAATTTATATTAAAAATAGGTGATATTTAAATTGGCTACCAACTTACTAAAAAAATTTGTAGATCAACAAGGTAGTAGAAGTTAAATTTATTTAAATTAGCAACTTCTATTTTTACAACTGTTTCTCATAATTAGGAAGAATGTCAAATGAAATAAGTGATGACAAGAAATTTATTTAAGGTGTTGATTCATATATATTTGTAATAATATACTGTCATCGCGTAATCCTTTTTACCGTAACATGACGTCAGATGAATTGCAAACTCATTTCCAATATCGATATCATTCTGCGTGTTAATTTATAATAATATTAGGTCTCATCGATGTTACCTGTACATTCAAATTTTTATATCGCACAAATAATTACTTTAGACCGCGCGGAACGCTCGTGACGTAATGTATAAATGACTATGCAGAAACCGATTGATTCATATATAGGGTGAGGCAATAACTGTGCCAACGTTGAATGTACCTTTCGTTTGTAATAATGTAAAGAAATATTGTGTATAAGATATTCAATTTATTATTATTATTCAACACTTTATGGCTAAAGTCTTTGCTATTGACCGCTCGATAAGTGGTCGATTCTTGGAAAAATTGTGTCCCAGTTTTTCTTTTCCTCGACATTTATTAATCTTTAATAATGTACGTTGGAAAACGGTCAGTGTATTGTTTTAAATTTTGCATATTTTATTCAGTATTGTCTCAGCAAAAAATGTCAAGCAGTATTTTAATATTTAACAATAATTTAATATTTATTTGATTTATTTACATACTTAATGATGTCAAAATGATATCACGTGTCAGCTACATCAGCCACAGTTTGTACGTATTGATTAAACATCTTCATGATACAATACTATAGTAATCTTATCTGATATCGAATGAAAAACGTAAAGGTTTTACTTTTGTTATGTACAATACCATTATGCAATAGGCTTTTATAATCGCAATATCCTATAAGTATCAGAGATACAGATAAGTTAAGTACGTATTAATCTTAATGTAGGTTTAAAGAAACTAAAATATTTCTAATTGGTAGAGAAGGATAAAAGCAATTTCTACATTATTTATTGTCGGTAATCGAACATTTAAATAATAATTACTTTTGGAATAATTAATTTTTTCCAACATTACAAATATTAATTGCGGTTAATAAAACATGTCATAGATTATTAGTTTACAAGTTTATATAGTTATAAATTTAGACAAAATATTGCTAAATAATAATTAATGAAGAGGGAACTATTAATAGTATTTTAATTCTTTGTATGAATACTGAGGGAATACAAAAATTTGAACTTCATGTGAATTGAATCTCATGTGAACATATAAACAATTGTAGAGATAATTAAATGTGAATTTCATAATCAATTTTGTATCATTCCAAGATTTTCCTTAACCCGTGTAGAAAGTGATAGAGGATATACCATGTCTATTGACACTATTACATTTTTAATTTCCATGAAAATGGAAATCGATAAGATATGTACTTGTACCCTACATATATTTTCCTCGTTGAAGCAGCATAAAATAATTGCAGAAACTACACGAAGCATTTGCACGACGTACAGGTAATAATAATATTATTACTAATAATATAAATTATATAAGGCTTGAGTAATGCTGAAGTGAATATCATTAATTTATCGATTTACTCTAACATTTCTTTTATTTTAAAATTAAAAAAGAAAGTTTATATGAAGCAGTGAAGTCTGCTATTTTTATTTTAAATTTTTCGAAATTGGAGCAAGTGGCGCCATCTCCCCGGCAAACAGGTTGAACTACGTACTTTTGAAACTGTAGTTTCAGTAGTTTCCATTTTCTACCAATAGATGGCAGGAAAATAGAAATCTCAAACTAAGAATGGTTAAAAATTAGTAATAATTCGATAAAGTAAAACATTTTTGCACTTCGACGCATTTCATTTTATATTGCAGTCAATTGGATTAATAAAATCAACTGTATTTATTAAATTGAACCAAGGAGATACACGTGGCGCCAGTTTATGGACTAAAAAATTGGCGTCCATCTACCGGCGAAACGGGTGAATTAAACCTAAAAAATGAGGGTCCGTACACGCATATATGGAAAATAAAAAAATGAATATTTCGGCACTTTGACGACGTAGTATGGTTCCTGAGGCATTTAGAAACAAATTTCTATTAGGGTTTGATGCGTTTTGATGCCTGATAAAGCTAGAAAATCAATTTTTGTCGAATTAGGTCCAAAACGGTACAGGTGGCGCCATCTAGCGGCGAGCGGCGGAACTACGAAAAACTAAAATCTCGATTTTCTCGAAAACTAGGCACTTTTCCGCAATTCTGAGATATACAAATTGTTCCCAATTCTGAGATATAC